ATAGTTTTCGTGGAGCGGATTAAAAAAACCCGTTAACCGAGAAACTGCTGCCTTCAGTGCTCGCGACGTCCCGGACGCAGCGCCACCGTCTCCGCCTCCGCTGGTGCCAGCGGGAACTAGGAATGCAGCGAGGTTACGGCCCCGCTCACTCGCGGGCGCTGACTCCGAGGGAACGCGTGCCAGACGTCTTTTAAAAAAAGTGTAAGTTGTAAATGTTTTACCGGTTGCGGTAAAGTAACACAATTATACATTGCTACCCAGGCGAGTCCCGCGCAGGCAGGTCTACGTTACAGCGATCGACCGCTACGCTGCCGCTCCCCACCTCACCACCACCACCAGCAGCAAGCCATGGTCAATCCTCTGCTGGACGAAGGCCTCCGCCCCAAGCCACCACCGCCGCTGCCCCTCGCGATCCTGCGACGCGACGATCCTCCACCCCGTCACTTTCCCCTACGCACGGGGAGCCGACTGGAGAGCTGACTGGGGAGCTGACTGGGGAGCTGACTGGGGAGCTGACTGGGGAGCTGACTGGGAGCTGGAGCTGACTGGGGAGCTGACTGGGAGCTGACTGGGAGTTGACTGGGAGCTGACTGGGAGCTGACTGGGAGCTGACTGGGAGCTGACTGGGAGCTGACTGGGGAGCTGACTGGGAGCTGACTGGGAGCTGGAGCTGACTGGGGAGCTGACTGGGAGCTGACTGGGAGTTGACTGGGAGTTGACTGGGAGCTGACTGGGAGCTGACTGGGAGCTGACTGGGAGCCGACTGTCACAGCCCCTTCTCCTCCAGGACGCCTTCCGTGCCTCGGCCGCCGCTCCGTGGTCATTCTCGACCAGTGGCCCTAGTCGCTGTGACGCGTCCACTCCAACGCCAATCCAAGCGTTTACCGTGACAACAAACGTGGACCATTGGAGGATTCCCATTGACAAATTCGGTTGCCAATATTCGTTTGCGCGCCTTTTGTGCTGCCCGAGCTCGAGCGAAGCGGACAGGGCACACAAGGGGCTGCTCAGCGCCGTCCTCCTGTCTTGTTGCTATGGGCCTGGTCTCCCACCCGAGTCGCTCGCTAACGCTTCCATTTGCTCCACAGTCAACTTCCCCTGCCGGGTTATTGTCTCGGGCTCGCTTACGGACTGCGCGCAGAGGGCGCGGCATCGCGACGGCAATCAATGATTACGATGATTGTGAGCGAGCAAGCGAGCGGTGGGGTGGTTGGAGTGGATGACCGAGTGGGTGAATGAGTAAGTGAGTGTTTGGTGGGTCAGTTGGTGGCAGTGGGGGGGGGGGGGTGAATGAATGGTTGGGTGGGTGGGTGAGAGATATTTGGCTGAGTGGGTGGTTTGGCGAGCGAGTGGTTGGGCTAGCGAGTGGTTTGGCTAGCGAGTGGTTGGGCGAGCGAGTGGTTGGGCTAGTGAGTGGTTGGGCTAGCGAGTGGTTTGGCGAGCGAGTGATTGGGCGAGCGAGTGGTTGGGCTAGCGAGTGGTTGGGCGAGCGAGTGGTTGAAAGAGCGAGTGGTTGGGCTAGCGAGTGGTTGGGCGAGCGAGTGGTTGGGCTAGCGAGTGGTTTGGCTAGCGAGTGGTTTGGCTAGCGAGTGGTTTGGCTAGCGAGTGGTTGGGCGAGCGAGTGGTTGGGCGAGGGAGTGGTTTGGCTAGCGAGTGGTTTGGCGAGCAAGTGGTTTGGCTAGCGAGTGGTTGGGCGAACGAGTGGTTGGGCTAGCGAGTGGTTGGGCTAGCGAGTGGTTGGGCTAGCGAGTGGTTGGGCTAGCGAGTGGTTGGGCGAGCGAGTGGTTTGGCTAGCGAGTGGTTTGGCTAGCGAGTGGTTTGGCTAGCGAGTGGTTTGGCTAGCGAGTGGTTGGGCGAGCGAGTGGTTGGGCGAGGGAGTGGTTTGGCTAGCGAGTGGTTTGGCGAGCAAGTGGTTTGGCTAGCGAGTGGTTGGGCGAACGAGTGGTTGGGTGAGGGAGTGGTTGGGCTAGCGAGTGGTTGGGCTAGCGAGTGGTTGGGCTAGTGAGTGGTTGGGCGAGCGAGTGGTTGGGCGAGCGAGTGGTTTGGCGAGCGAGTGGTTGGGCGAGCGAGTGGTTGGGCTAGCGAGTGGTTGGGCTAGCGAGTGGTTTGGCTCGCGAGTGGTTTGGCTAGCAAGTGGTTGGCGAGCGAGTGGTTGGGCGAGGGAGTGGTTTGGCTAGCGAGTGGTTTGGCTAGCGAGTGGTTTGGCGAGCAAGTGGTTTGGCTAGCGATTGGTTAGGCGAACGAGTGGTTGGGTGAGGGAGTGGTTGGGCTAGTGAGTGGTTGTCCGGCGTTCAATACCTCCCCCCCCCCCCTGACGGCCATCCGACCGAACGCAGCCGGAGCTCGCAGCGGCCGGGCAGCTGGCACTCGCGGACGAGAGCGTAGCGGGCGCGGGCGGCGGAGAGGACCCCGACCCCGGCGGCGTGGCGGCCAACGAGCGCGACGCCGCGGGGGTGGGGATCTCTCCGCGACTTCTGCCGGGGTCTGCGGAGCTGCGTGACCCCCACCCTCAGCCCCCTCCCCCAAGCTGCAGATGTGCGTGTGCGCGCGTGTTCATTTTATCGCGACACTGCAAGGCCCCAACGTTTAACTGATCTCGCCACTATCGCCGCTCGCACCCAAACCCCAATCGCCCGTTCGGAGGGACCCCACAATTCCCTTTTTACCCCCACCCCCCACCTCCCACCCCCCACCCCATAACCCACATTAGGGGGCGCCACGGTGGCTAGGAGATGTTAACTACCTCGCCTGGTATACAGGAGGTCGTGGGTTCGTTCCCGACCCTGACGCCTGCTGTATAATCAGGTGGACTTCTCCACAAATCTGGCTGTCGCCTGATGAAGCTGGTTGTAATTACTGGCGAAACGTCGTACTCAGATTGTAAATGTCGTGGCTTGGCTCTCCAACACACCGGCGTGCTGTACTAGTGACGAATTGGCACGTTCTGTTTACGTGAAAACCCTGACTAGTGGGATAAGGCTGCTATAAAATGTCCACACGATGACAAGCCGCTTCGTTGAGCTATCGTCTGTGTCCGGGTCGCTTCTGAAAGAGAGCGACGGAGCTCAGTGGGCTTTACCTGGAATAAATAACAATCAGTTAATCGACGTCACGTCGGCCGCCATACCCCACGGTTTGGCGCGGCGCACGTGGGGGGTGGTCACCGCCATGGGAATGTGGAATTTCCACTGGTGGCGAAGCTGGCCGTGAGCGGCACGAGCCAAAGGCTTGGTGCCCCGCGGAGGCTGGAGGGTTCCTGGATTCGCAACGCGACGAGTCCACGACACACCGGCTGCAGGTCGGGATCCTCATACAACAACACGAGCAAGTTGACCGCTACAATCAAACGATCCAATGCAATTTGAATGAGTCCATTAACCATTTCGCACAGCTGTTGCGTTCTAGTAGACTGTGTGTTATGTGAAAATCTATGATCCCTATGTAACCCTATTGGCCTTATGCAAGCCGATGATCACAACAATGCTGGTGATGTGTAAGCGCTCGATCTCGACGTAAGCCCATGCACGTTTAGTTTGTTGTCCTTCCCTGCACCTCCGATTAGCACGGTTGGCTACGTACGGTGCGAAAAAAGTCCAACAGACACACATAGACTCACGTCGTCACTAACCCATTCACGCAGTCACTCGCCCACACACTCAGCCATCCTCCGATTGGCACGGTTGGCTACGTACGGTGCTAAAGTTTCGATTTAAAGCTTTCGTGACTGTAGGGATTCATCTTCTTGGTTCTTTCGGTAAAGTCACGTAGAAGGGAAATATTAAAACAATAAAAATAAAACATAATAAAATACAATTCTCACGACGTTTCGGCCACAACGCAAGCAGCCGAAAGAACCAAGAAGGTGCTAAAGTTGTTCAACGTACATACGGGCCCTGTCTTAAGTCGACGACCTCAATGTAAACTCTACGGTTCCCAATTTACACACCCACACCCCATTCACATCCGATCACCACGAGTACTCGAGCGGCTGATCCCAGGGCGCCAGCGCTACCGTGAAGGCGCTGCCGTGCCTCACGGATGCATCGCGGCTACGCAGGCTGCCGTGCCGTTTCTCGCAGCGTCCGCCGTCAGCCGTGGCCATTGTACAACCGCGGTTATTGACCAGGGCGGCCGCGGGGCTGGGAGCGGCCGCCGCGGCGGCGCTCGCTCGGCGATGCGTAGCGGCGCAGCGCCTCGGGGCACCGAGCCCGTGAATGATTCACTTGCCGAGTTGGCGGCAGATTACTCAGTCACCAGCAACGACCTCGCGGTGCCACCGCCACCACCACCTGGCTAAAGCTCTCCCCCCGCTTGGTAGCCAACCTCTGGGTGCCACTCCCACACCCGCTTGGTCACCTGTCCGCGCCCCTCCACCCGTCCCAACCTCCGTCGCTGCCTCTTCCCATCCTCACCTGCAGCACTTTCCAGCCCCACGCATTCTGCGTGCCAACCTCCCACCCTCATCCTGCCACGAAATTCCCGACAGTCTTCCGGGTAAACAGGTGGCGTTCAATATGACTGCTCCTGCTGCTGCTGTTGTTGTTGATATTGGCCTCGCGGCGCAGCCAAAAATCCGCCGTGGCACCGTACTCGTACGCTCCCACGTCCGTCTACGTCGCCCGACATTTTCGGCAAACAAGCACCGACCGGCGTGAAGCATGGCCAAAACAAGCAGGCTCCCCACGGGCACGGCGCGGGGCAGACTCGCAAGGAGACCGGGATGAGCCGTTTGGACCCAGGGGTCGCCACCAAAAGAAAGCGACAGACGCAAAACAAATATTAAAAATAAGAGCGCAGCTACGAGCGAAAAAATATATATTTAAAAAAACGCAATCTCACACGAGGAATAGAAAATACTGCGAGGGTAAAATCGGCGTCAAAACCAGAAGCTGAAGATTAAATTACCCCCCACCTCCTCCCCCCCAACGGAGCAATCGCGGCTCAAGGCGAGCTGTGGGCACCCACGCACAGCCACGCGACGTGCTGACGCCACCACTCACCTGCACAGGGCCACAACGCGTCCCCCCTGGGTCTGGCCAGAGACAGTCGAGATGTCGCTCCACTCCTGCACTCCACTCTGGATCTCACTCCACTCTGGATCTCACTCCACTCTGGATCTCACTCCACTCTGGATCTCACTCCACTCTGGATCTCACTCCACTCTGGATCTCACTCCACTCTGGATCTCACTCCACTCTGGATCTCACTCCACTCTGGATCTCACTCCACTCTGGATCTCACTCCACTCTGGATCTCACTCCACTCTGGATCTCACTCCACTCTGGATCTCACTCCACTCTGGATCTCACTCCACTCTGGATCTCACTCCACTCTGGATCTCACTCCACTCTGGATCTCACTCCACTCTGGATCTCACTCCACTCTGGATCTCACTCCACTCTAGATCTCACTCCACTCTGGATCTCACTCCACTCTAGATCTCACTCCACTCTAGATCTCACTCCACTCTAGATCTCACTCCACTCTGGATCTCCACTCTAGATCTCACTCCACTTTAGATCTCACTCCACTCTGGATCTCACTCCACTCTGGATCTCACTCCACTCTGGATCTCACTCCACTCTGGATCTCACTCCACTTGGTTGGTGTCCCACGGAGAAACGCGAGCGTCTTGCGTCACCCCCCCCCCCCCCCGCATTTCCACACTTTCCTTTTCGCAATGAAGTCCCGGGGACGTTTGGGCAACTCATGGCGAATTCGGGAAATATCTGGAATTGGATGTCTGTGTGTGTGTCTGCGTATGTGTGTCTGCGTGTGTGTGTGTCTGCGTGTGTGAGTGTCTGTGTGCGTGTGTCTGTGTGCGTGTGTCTGTGTGCGTGTGTCTGTGTGCGTGTGTCTGCGTGTGTGTCTGCGAGTGTCTGTATATGTGTCTGCGTGCGTGTGTCTGCGTGCGTGTGTCTGCGTGTGTGTGTCTGTGTGTGTGTCTGTGCGGGTCGGTATGTGTGTGTGTCTTTGCAGTCATCTCAGTCAACCCAAGATCCCTGGGTCTGTCCCATAACCTGTCGACAGCGAGCCTTCAACACTGCAAGTGGTGGCTCCAAGGTGCACCTAGCCTGGCACAGGCGCCGTGGTGACATCGCCGCCACTCGGTGACGAATGGCGGCTGTTGTTGTTGTGTGTATTGATCTGTGTGGCTATTTATGCGTGGGTGTGTGTTGGTGTGGGTATTTGCATGTGTGTGTTTACATGTGTTTGTGTGTATGGTATGAGTTAAACACTGTTGACCCATGTTTGGGTAATAGTGTGTTTGTGTGTATGCGTGTATGTGGTCGTGTGTCCATTTACACGCACACACACACATCTGCGTGGGTATGTGCGTGCACGTGCGTGTGCGTATGTGGCTAAGTGTGCTTGTGTGTGTGTGTAAACGGCTACGTGTGTGTATGTGGCTAAGTATGTGTGTGTATGGCTATGTGGCTGTGCGTGTGTGTCTATGTGGCTGTGTGTGGCTGTGTGTGTGGCTGTGTGTGGCTATGTGGCTGTGTGTGTGTATGTGGCTGTGTGTGTGTGTGTCTATGTGGCTGTGTGTGTATGGCTATGCGGCTTTGTGTGTGAGTCTATGTGTCTATGTGTGTATGCGTGTGTGTGTGTCTATGTGTCTATGTGGCTGTGTGTGTATGTCTATGTGGCTGCGTGTGTGTGTCTATGTGTCTGAGTGTGTGTGTATATGTGGCTACGTGTGTGTGTCTATGTGTGTGTCTATGTGGCTGTGTCTGTGTATGTGCGTGTGTGCGTAGCGAACAGCGCGCTGCACTGCGAACCTGGGACCTCGAGTTAGATTCCCACTTATGTGAACCGGTCTTGGGCCTCCCCTAGGTCGACTCAGCCTCAGCTGAGTACCTGGTGCGGTGTGTAAACATCGCCACTGGGGAGACAAAGGCGGTCGGGCGTGGTGCTGGCCACCCACCCCCTCGTGTGCGGTGCCATCCCCTGCCCCAACGGTCTGCCGCAGGCTATACGGGGTCTCTTTGTCTTTGTGTGCTCCCGCTGGCAATTATCCCAAATCGATTGGCATCAGCTCTGGATGTCGGCCAGAGTTAGCGTCAAAGCAACACAAAACCTCGTCCTCGTATGGTGGTGGCGGGGGGGGGGGGGATCAAATTACAAAGGAATTACTCACACTCGAATAAAGGGCAAATTACGACAGTAGCGTCCATCAAGTACGCAAGTAAAACAAACTGCGCTCAGCCTGTGGTGTGTAAACAATCACAATCAACCAACGTATTCACCAACTTGCCGTCTGGAGCGAGCGTTTCGCCACGGCGGAGTCGCCGCTGAGAGGCTGAGAGAGGCGATGCCGTGGCAAGACTCGTGGCAGGAGGGGGGAGGAGGAGGTGGTGATGGGTGGGACGAGTGGTGTGCAGGGTGGAGAAGGAGGTGGTGATGGGTGGGACGAGTGGTGTGCAGGGTGGAGGAGGTGGTGGTGATGGGTGGGACGAGTGGTGTGCAGGGTGGAGAAAGAGGGCAGGTGACCGAGATGGGCCAAGGAGTGGCGCTGAGAAGAGAAGACCTCAAGCCAGGCGGCGGGGGTGGCGGTGATGTTGATGAGACTGAGAGAGTGGTCCTTGACGGATGTGTCAACTGTGTAACCAGGGAGAAAGAGACACTGAGCCAGACCTAGGATCTCGGTGTTGCTGGCTCAGTGTCTCCGACACGGCCATTATTAACCCCTTGGAGCGACACCCAGAGCCAGGGCTTGAACCCACAAACTCCACATTGCTGATGCAGTGTCCCGAACACGGTCTTTGTGACATCACTCAGAGACCCACGCGGATGCAGGGCTTGACCCGTGCGTGCCAGCGGTGCTTTGCTTAACACGTCTGGCACGGCCGTCGCGAAGCGCTGAACCCCCTCGGCGATAAATGAACGCCCGCAAACTTAACCGCCGAACAATGGGACGCGTCGAATGATTGGGTCTAATTCGCCGGCCGTTACTCTGTCAGCCAGGCGAGGATGGAACGGTGGCACCTCGGGGACTCCCTTCCTCGCCATGATCGGCGTCGGGGCCGGAGGCGTCGGGGCCGGAGGCCCGTGGGGAAGACGTCACGGGCGACGTCACAGTTTTTTCCCGCTCCCGCGCTCAGAGATAAAATCCGCAGAAATCCACGCCGGCACAGATTTAGATTCCATTTTTTCCCCGCTTTCCACGAGAAGTGAAACTCACTTCGGTGCAGCCGCTCGCTTTGCGGTTTTCGTTTCATAAAAAAAAAATCCCCTCTCGAGTTTTGGATGTCGCTCTTCTCTCTCTCTCAGAGGGTTCATCACGGTCACGTCACTGACACGTCACTGACACGAAGCCAGAACGACAGAGACTGCTGCCTACTAGCCCCAGGTGATATCTGGGTACCTCTGTCTGCGGGTTCCCAACCGGCTGTGCCACCGATAACCTTGGTGGCTTCCACCCACACGAGGCACTGCTAAAACAGTGGAAAACAACGTCAAAAGTCAAGGTGTCTTCCCACTCACACACACACACCCACGGTGGCCAGGAGATGTTATCTACCTCGCCTGGTATACAGGAGGTCGTGGGTTCGATCCCGACCCTGACGATGCCTGCTGCTGCTGTATATTTGGAGTTTGCGTGTCTCTCTCTCTCCCCGTGGTCGCGTGGATTTTTTTCCGGGTCCTCCGGTTTTTCCCTCCACATTTAGAAACAACATCGTGCGTTCAGAGTGTTTGGCCGCTGCGATGGATTTCCACGAGATCATAAGCCACTTCCGTCGACTTATCATTTGCGATGGCCAGGGTCGCTTCCGAAAAAGAGCTACATCGCTCAGTGGGCCCTTACCTGGGTACAATAAAAAAATAGTTGCTAACAATTTTTTGTAATTGCACGGCTTGCATGCGTCAGACACACGGGGCAGCCGCCCTCTACACCCACGATCCCTCGTACAACCGCCGATTGTTTTCTGCGATTGTAACGAACGCCCCAAAATTAAACACCGCAATTGTCCGCGATTTGCCTGCGGAGAAGTTCAGGGTCGCGCGGTGGCACGCGCTGGCGCAAGGAGAGGAAAAGTTCCCTTTGATGGGAGAGAACCAATCGCCGGGTCTCTCTACGCCCCCCAACGCCCCCAGAGTGTGTCCACAAATAAGCCCTCATTTGCATAATGTTGAACATTCCCTTTGCATATCTCTTGCCCCCCTTGCTTGATTGCAGCCCCCCCCACACCCAACCCTGACAGCGCCCCGGCGCTGCCAGGGTTGGGTGTCGCTCACGCCGCCCGTTCAACCCCATCTCCGCGGAGAGGCAAAGTGGAAACAAACTGCGCAGGTTTCTTAAAACGCTCCCTCGCTCCCCGCTCCACCCAAGCCAGCGTGAGCGGGGGGCAACACCCGCGGGACCGCGTCGTGGTGAAGCGTCGTGGGGTGAAGCGTCGTGGGGTGAAGCGTCGTGGGGTGAAGCGTCGTGGTGAAGCGTGGGTGACGTCGCCCCCCCCCACGGAGACGCCCGGCCAGCGTGGAGGACGAGGCCGGTGACCCTTCACCCTTCCCAGCGGGCGACTGCGGTGACCTCCCCCCCCCCTGCTGCCCCCTCCCTCCCACCCCCTCCACAACCTTGTTAAGGAACGGGGCTCCGGAAGACGACGGAACGCCGCGCGCTCCGGAGGGCCCGTCCCACGTGGGCACCGCAGCGGCGAGGAGACGCCGCCTGCAGCTCCCCTCGCCTGCTGCGCCAGGAGGGAGGGAGGTGGGTTCCATCCGGGGCCCTGGCGGTGCCTGTTCTCGAATTGGAGTTTGCGAGTTCTCTCTCCCCCCCCCCCCCCCGCGGTGGTCGTCGCGTGGATTGTTCTCTTGGGTCCCCCCTCCCCCCATCTCCGCATTGAGAATCGTCACGCGACGCTCAGATTATTTGGCTGCCGCTATAAATTCCCACGTGTGATAATGATATCAGCCACTGTGATGAAGGTGATGGGCTCAGCCACTTCGATGATGAGCTATTGTCACGTGTGGCCAGGTTGCCTCTGAACAAGAGTCGACAACACAGTGGGCTTAACCTGGTGAATAAGGAACTCGTTTTTAAGTTAATATCAAGTTGACCGCTCGGCCTCGTCCCTCCGCTTCGCCAAGAGCTGTTCGCTGCGGGGCGCTAATCTCGAGATGCAACGTTGCGAAACACTCCGCGTGATTCAGCGGGACCGGAGCAGTGGATTTCAATTCGTTTCAGTACGATCAAGAGCACCGCCCCGTCACCGCCGGGGAGACAAAGGCGGGCAGGCGGGACGCGGGAGCTGGCCACAACACCGCCACGTGCGCCGTTCTCGCCTTCCTGGGAGCTACTCGCGAACGGCGCTTGCCCCAACAGCCTGCGTGGGCTCACACGTTGGGAGAGGTGAGAGGGGAGCTTTGTCTCTGTGCGTATGCCGTGGGTGCACACGTGTGTGTGTGTGCGCGTGTGTGTGCGTGTGTGCGTGCGCGTGTGCGTGTGTGCGTGTGTCAGTTTCACAGCCAGCTGCTCACACAACTTAGGGTAAAAAAAAAAAACCTCCAAT